TTCTCTGCTTAGTGGGGAGCCTACTTCTCCCTCTCCCTCTGCTGCTCTGCCTACTTGTGCTTTCTCTCTGTCAAATAAATAAATAAAATCTCAAAAAAAAAAAAGAATTTTCCTATAATGGGGACATAAATTACTAAGAGCAGGGAACCACACCAAGTGTTTCCTATTCTTGGTTATAAATAAACTGCTTTGGCTTACAGAAATAAAAGTTTAAAATTTAAAAATCTGTTTCAAGTAGAATATGTAATCAGGCTTATTCCTGAGATTGTTCAGAGGCTGATCTCATAGAGTGATGAAAAGTAAACAGTCATAGAGCAACACTGATTCAATGCATTACTCCAAATAAGGCAATTTTTATGTGAGAGCAAAGCCCTACGAGAAAGGAGGGAATGAGACAAACATATACAGATAATGACTGTAATTTCAAAAGGGGAGTTGGAGAAGATTTTTAAAATTTATTTATTTATTTATTTTTTAAGATTTTATTTATTTATTTGAGACAGAGAGAATGAGAGGGAGAGAGCACATGAGAGGGGGGAGGGTCAGAGGGAGAAGCCGGCTCCCTGCCGAGCAGGGAGCCCGATGCGGGACTCGATCCGGGGACTCCAGGATCATGATTTTTAAAATTTATTTATTTATTTATTTTTTAAGATTTTATTTATTTATTTGAGACAGAGAGAATGAGAGGGAGAGAGCACATGAGAGGGGGGAGGGTCAGAGGGAGAAGCCGGCTCCCTGCCGAGCAGGGAGCCCGATGCGGGACTCGATCCGGGGACTCCAGGATCATGACCTGAGCCGAAAGCAGTCGCTTAACCAACTGAGCCACCCAGGCGCCCAAGATTTTTTTTTTTTTTTAAATCAGGAAAAAAAATAGTAAGACATGAAATATTAAGAGAATTAGACTTTTGCCTAATAATAAAAACCATTAAATCTCATAGTAACCATGGATTAAGAATACGAAGACATGAGGTTTCTTTCAGGGCACTTGTTAACTCAATCATCAAAAGGAAGATACCTGTTGGGGTGGAGACAGTTTGTTTGTACAAAGCAGACCTCAGAAGAAAGTTTCTTTGGTACCCAACTGTGATGCCTCTGCCCTCATCCAAACAGTAGCAAAAGGAATTAAAAGTGCAGACAGCAGTCCAGAGAAGGGAGTCTTCCACTCTATGCCCATGAGGTGAATCTCCATGTCCTGAGATTCTCCACCTTTTATCCTTTATCTCTGCACTCAGCATATAAGTCAATCAAGTGACAGAGTTCACAGGATATATATGAAACAGATTTAGAGGTGCACAATTTGTTAACTCAAAAAGCATCTTTAGCAGAACACAATAGTCTTAACTATTTGTTAAGTTTACATGGTAAACCTTGAATAAAATTTGCAGGGAACATGGAATGTGGAATTCTGCTTAAATCAAACTTCATGCCCAAATCCCTGAAGAGAAAATATTGCTAGAGCTTTTTAGCAAGTTTTATTAAAGTTATTGTTAATTCTAGATTTTATATGGTATATTTTTACAAAGAAAATTTACTTCAGTTCTGGAATTAAGTAAAAGGTTATATTTTAATCTGTTCAAAATCCAATCTCTCTGCCTGGATTAAAAGCTTTTCTCCTAAAAGAGAATTAAAAAAAAAGTCTCTTGTAGTATAAAAGGAAAACAAATTGAAATGTGTTCCAACTCATTTAATTTCGTCAAAATCACCTTATAAATGGAGACAGCCAACAACTATACCGTTCTCTTATGGATTCATATACATAAACTGAAAAAATCTGTTACTATATTAAAAATAGACATTATGAATCCTATGAAGTGAATTATTTGCTTTCTTTTTCTTTTCCAGAGAGACAGAGAGAGGGGGGGAGGGAGAGGGGGAGGGGCAGAGGGAGAGGGACAGGGAGAATCTGAAGCAGACTTCACACCTAGCACAGAGCCCAACACAGGGGCTCAATCTTACAACCCTAAGATCACGACCTGAGCCGAAATCAAGAGTCAGATGCTTAACCGATTGAGCCACCCAGGCACCCCTGCTTTCTAATTTTTAAAAAAACAAGGTGAACTGGGTTATACAACAAGCACAGTAAGTAATGAAATCTAGGTACTTAACATCTGCTTTTTAAAAGACTGGAAATAAGGGGCACCTGGTTGGTTCAGTCAGTAGACCATGCAGCTCTTGATCCCAGGGTTGTAAGTTTGAGCCCCATGTTGGGTGTAGAAATTACTTAAAAATAAAAAAATCTTAAAAAAAAAATAAACAAAAGACTGGAAATAAGAATATGAAGTGTCACTGCTCATTGAATGTAAACTTCATGTCAAAATTATAAATCAATTCAAGATGGCTATCAATGAAAATAATGGCAAAAAAATTTGTGTGAGATTATCAAAAAATAACCCAAAGTTGTTTCAAAAGTTCACTTGGGTATGATTTTTGCTGAATTTGTCTTGCTCGCCATAATACTTATTAAACAAAACAATTTCTATAGCAGCAGCTTGTTATAAAATAATGAAAACATCCCCTCTGACAAGAAATCAGAGTTAACTCTTAGTATGCCAACTCTGGCTATCCAAATTTAAGGAGCCAACAGATTTGGAAATTTCTGAAATAGAACTGGTAACCTCATTAACCAAACCCTTGCTACTTGTTACCAAAACTCAGGAACTGAACAGATTCAGATAATGGGCTATATCCCTAGCTATATGAATTTATAGTCCAAACTTCCTCTGTTTGCACTTAGAAACCCAATGGATTCAGACATCAGGAATACTTGAATTTTATTTATTTATTTCTAATTTTATTTTTTGTTCTTAGGTTTATTCTTCGTCCACAAGAAAAGGATTTTATATTATAATTTTTCCCTATGTACCACATTTAACATTTTTCCCATGCTATTACATAGTTCTTATAAACATAATTTTATTAGTTAATATCCCCATTGAGGGGACTGCTATAATTTACATAACTCTTGCTCTATATCTGAATGTTTACTGGTCCATTTGCCTCTCATAACTATGACACAATAAAAATCTCCAAACATCTTTTTCTTTTTTTTTTTTAAGATTTTATTTATTTGACAGAGACAGACAGAGAGTGAGCCCAAGCAGGGGGAGCAGCAGGCAGAGGGAGAGGGAGAAGCAGGATCCCTGAGGAGCAGAGAGCCCAATGTGGGGCTCGATCCCAGAACCCTGAGATCATGACCTCAGCTGAAGGCAGACGCTTAATCAACTGAGCCACCCAAGTGCCCCTCCAAGTATCTTTTTCTTCATGTAAAACAAATATCGTTCTATATTACAACTACAGCTCAATATTTTACATATTTTATAATAATATTTTAAATGATTTTTTCAAATTGTAACTTAGTCTTTTTTTTGATAGTTCTCTGTTCTTATTTCTTTGGGCTCAAAATACAAGTCACAAAAATTTAATATAAAAATAACTTACTAAAAAATGGTCATATGTAATAAAACTAATATAAAATCCTTCTCCTAAAGATTTATATTTTAGACTCTATATTCTGTTTTTAGTTGGTTTCAGTGGGTTCCAGTTATTTTGATCCAAATCCCTGTGCCAATTTCCCATAAAAGTGAAATTTAGTAATCAGAAGGTAACAAAAACTTGGATTAATCTTTGCTCTATAAAAAAGTTTTAAAAGACAAAGAAATATGCCATATTTATTAGTTTTCCTCAAAATAATATCAAACTGACATTCAACATCATAGTCTCTAAAATGGACAAAAACAGAAGCTCTTCTAAAACTATTAAATGAAATTCCAGGTTTCCTTAAGGCATCTCCAAGGAGTGTAACATTTGATCTACTGAGTTTGTCTGCTATAATTACCAGGTGTGACACTTACAAGCCTCAAGTGCTCCTGAGATTGTGTGTGTGGGGAGGAGAGAGAACCACATATGCTTGCCCGTCTACAAGATGAACTCATGAGCATAAAAAATGGGAAGTCACTCATTTCAAAAAGAGAGTGAAAAGGGAGAGAAAAATGCTCAACAAAGTGTATTGTATGTCTGGTAGGAAAAAGTACAGATGTCATCAATAAATCTTTATTACACATAGTGACCTTTAATTATCACTAAGACCAAAAGAATTATCACAACCTCATGATTTAAAATAAGCAGTCACGTGATTTTCAAGTAAGAAGGAATTCATGATACTTTCACTCAGAATTCAGCAGAGGTCCAAATCACCTCAAAAGCCAACCTATCTATCTTTATTATTAAAGACAGCCTTCCAGGGGTAGGCAGTTGATGTCAGACTGTAGGACAATCTATTGCTACTCTTTCCCTAGAAAGGTCCTACTACCCTAAGGGCCATCTTCAGATCTGAGTGCCCAAACAAAACCACTGTTTTCCTGACTTCATTTAATCATTTAAAAAATTTATTTAAGAACTTCAAATGCAAATCTGTGATAGAACTAGAACTTAAATAAAACAGGCTAACGTTACTACTACCTCTTAAGTGTCCACACAGAAAGTTTAGGTGCTTGACATTCTATTTTATTCCCTGCTCAACAACAATTTTTTATTTAAAAGCTTGAAACTTCCTCTTTTTTGTGGGCAATATGAAATCCATCTTTGAAGGCAAATGCCACAAAAATAATTTTCTCCAGGGGGCACCTGGGTGGCTCAGTTGGTTAGGTGACTGCCTTCGGCTCAGGTCATGATCCTGGAGTCCCGGGATCGAGTCCCACATCGGGCTCCCTGCTCAGCGGGGAGTTTGCTTCTCCCTCTGACCCTCCCCCCTCTCATGCTCTCTCTCTCTATCTCATTCTCTCTCTCAAATAAATAAATAAATAAATAAAATCTTAAAAAAAAAAAAAATTTTCTCTAAAGAGAGAAGCCGAAACAGTATGAAAAGTATCGCTGCTGTCTGAAGATGGCCCTCAATGCACTTCTACCATAACAAACACATTGAGATCTTCATTTTTCCTCTCATTTTTCAATTTTTGCCCCTGACTTCATTAAAATCAATGTGAAAAATACTCTGTACTCACTCTGGCATTCTATGAATTGATGAATAAAAGTGCAGTCCCCGCCACTCTTTGAAAGCAAGTGCTCTAATAAAGAAAGAAACACTTTTAAGGATATAGTTTGTTGCTGTTTTTGAAAACCAACAGCAAAGGTAGGAAAACTGAAATGTATTAACATGAGTAACTCTGAATAAGATTCATAAAAGTTTAATATATTTTAAATATTTATAGTAGACATATTTAGGAGTTAAATAAAGCTAAATGACTGAAAACTGTTATTATATAATATTGATTTGTACTCTGAATGGGTAGCTTTTAAAAGTACAGTTTCTATCCAAAGAGCTCAAGAAAACCATAGACATATTGCTTTAAAAAGCTTCTCCCACTTTTAAAATACACCTTTCTCCATGACAGCTTAATAAATACCTGTAAATAATGTTTATATTTTATTATTTGTTCTAACTGATAACTGTCTTCTAAAAGTCTCTCTTCAAAGCTATTTTTCTTAGTTAAGAGGCAAAAGATAAATATTTTAAGAACACCATAAAATAATGCCTTAAAATTTTTAAGACAATGATGCAACATTTCAATTTTTAGACTTTCATTTCACAAATAAGCTTTCCCTTTGAGTCATTTAATCTGTACTTTATATACTCTCAAAATATTACATTGTTTATCTCCACCCAAATGATTAAAGTCAATGCCTATACATTTTAAAATAAGAGTCTGGAAAATGGTTTTGCTCAGGTCAAACAGAATTTGTTTTGTTTTGTTTTAATAAGGGGAGAGAATTAAAACCTAACAGGAGTTAAGACAAGTTTCAACCCTTTTCTTACAATAATCTTTATTTACATTGATCCAAAGAGTTACCTTCTGAATCTGGATAACATCCTTCAATTATAACTCTGGATCTTTCAAAACTACTAAATAGACTTTGGAAGTTCAATGTTAAAAATATATCTCAGTATGATGACTATCTGGATGGTGTGAAAGCACTAAAAGCTGTCAAAGAGGACATGAGTTAGTACCACTTGGACTGTGAAAGCCTCTTTTCTCCTCATTTCAACCCACCTCACCCTTCATCATCTCAACTTTTGTTTGAGAGGCAGGCATCTCCTACTCTGATCACATTACAACTTCTCTTGATATCCTTTTTAATGCCACCTCCTTTACCTTCCTACTGAAATCTGTCATTCTCCTTTATCTATTTACATGGTGTACAGAGCCTCCAGTCAACAATTTTACATATATATACACACACACACACACACACATATGTGTAATATGGTGTGTATAGTTGTATATAGTTACACTACACAGAGATACAATATAGCCCCAAAAAGAAAAAGGAAAAAAAGGCTACCTGCAACAGTAATTAAAAAAAAAAAAAATCTAATAAATAGCATTTGCTGATTGGAGCCAAGAAATCCAAAACAGGAGCCCTCAGTTAAATAGTAATTACCATGATCAAAAGTTGTTTTATATAAATCCTACCTAAGCTATGGTAATATTTTCAGAACTCCAACTATACAACATCATGGTTAAATAAGAAAACTCATTTGAAACCAAATTTTAACCTAAAGGACTTAATAGAACTTATTTGAAACAAAAATTTCAGACTATCATCACAGGACTTTAGATGACATTTATTAATGCAGTACATCCCACCATCACTCACTAAGCCCCAAATCACCCTTTTATCTACTCTGATTTTAATATCTGGACTCTAGATTAAAATATTTAAAATACTAGCTTAGATAAAATGCAAGATTAATACAAAAATATATATATGACTTCTACAAAGGCATTTTCTAAAATATGAGAGAAAAGTCTTTCAGATAGTATATGTAAAAGATTTGGATCACGACACTTTCAATGCTTCATTACTTGAATTCAGCCCCTTGGGAATTCACTTTGCCAACTATAAAAGATGTCCCTGATAATGCAAAAAGAATCAGATACTTAAGTTGGAGGGGAAGGGGAGGCATGTCTAAGATCCCAAATAGGGCTGTGGAAATGTAAAGAAAAGACAGATACAGAAATAAAAGAGAGAACTGTGATACTTAAAATGTGTTTTATTTATACATGAGTTTCCTATAAATTTTGATTTTCTATACTACCTGTGCTGTCCAATACACATGCTTGATACACATGTGGATACTGAGTCCTGAAAAAATGGCTAGTTTGAATTGAGATATGTTGTAAGTGTAAAATAAATATATACTGGTTTCAAAGACTTACTAAGGAAAAAAGAATGTGAAATACTTATTGGTGACATGTTAAAATAATATTTTTGATATAGTGGGTTAAAGTAAATATATTATTAAACATTATTAAAATACATTATTAACTAAAGTACTTTACCTGTTTCTTTTTATATTTTTAATGTGGTTACCAGAAATTTTAAATTATATATATTGGCTCTCACAATATTTCTATTAGACAGTGCTTTTCTATACTAAGACATATTCAAATTATGCTTATCAGATAAGATACAAAAAAATTTATAGTATAAAACCTGTGCTTATATATAGTATAAAACCTGTGCTTATATATATAAAGCAGCTACTTTAGATTTAAGTAATTTCAAAAACAGAGTTTACTAGAGAAACAGCATTAATCTTAACATCTCCAGATATTTTTAAAATATTCTCTTAAAACTATACTTGGTTCCCTCTCTACTATTTAAAGAGTAATTTTAGATAAAGTCATACCTGATAGCATACTGTGGCTATGGACTTTGGTAATACCAGAATGCTTGATAACTGGTTTGTTATTATATAACAAATGATTCAGAACAGACTCATCTTATTCCAAAGTCACTCTGTACTAAATCTGGCATAATGAAGTTTTTGTGCATTATCAAGATATTTACTATCCCGTTTTGTTAAAGATATACTGTAGGTCACTCTCACACCACTCAGTTTATCACCACTAAAAATCCAAACACACCAGCGGGGAAAAAACAATCATGGTAAGAAGTATCCAAAATATTCAGTCTTAAATCAAGGAGTTGTCTACAACTATTCTCATCTAAATCACTTGGAATTGGCAAAAAATTTTAAGCAGTAATCTGACAACTCTAAAATAATATAAAGATGATTTAGTGTATATAAAGGGATTCTCTTAACTGAAGGAAAAGCATGTTCCGAGCTTGAGTTATACATTATTAATAAATACATGCTTAAATCAAAATGGTGATGAATTGGAATAAAAAGTGCTCATGCCAAAAAGAGAAAAAAAAAAAAAAGCAAATAATGACAACAAAAAATAAAAATTCATTTAACGATGACAAGCTTTTAGAAGGTGAGGATTAAGTCATTTTATATATGTTTGCTAAATATAATTAATAAACAGAAATTAGTAATATTAGTAATGAATATAAACTACACCTTTAAAAAATTCTCGAATTGAAACTCAAACTGGAATTCTAAAATGTAGATGTATTTTATAAAACACATATAGAATATCAAGTAACAATGATGAATGACAATAATTTTTAATTTAGAGTTTCAAGATTTGTTATAGATTATATGTAATATTAGGTCTTGAGCTTACAGCTCACATATACATGATTACTTGAGCCTATCTTGCCGGTTCCTGATTGAAAACCAACCACACAAAAACAAGAACAAAAAAGCACCTCCTAACTTTATCAGAGTTGGCTGCTGCCCCAATAACTATAAAGATATCCCCTGATACATGAAAAAAATATTTAATAAGAAGTATTGACCTTGATATCTTCTACTAACTTCTGTATAAAAACTAAGATGAGAGATACACAGATTTGTAAACACAGAAAATAATTTTATTCATTCTGTACTTAAAGAATCTAATGCAGGATCTGGCACACAGCTAGTGTTCAATTAATGCTGGATGGATGGAAATGGGGGAGGATGAATGGGGATCTTCACAACTGAAGGAATGTACAAGCCATTGGGTAAAAAGTACCCCATGCAGTCAGTAACAGGAAAACCAAGAGTAGCTATACATTTTTGGCAAGAGATAATGCAAGCTATCCAGAAAGAAGGGTCCCAATAAACTAATCATTAACTAATAAATGACTTTTCAGACAGCATAAATGACTGATCCTGTTTTTTCTGATTAAAGAAATAGATGTACAGTGTAAAGAAAGCAGTTTCTATGACATATCCAAGAGCTCAATGCGCTGTTAAGTAAACCCTTGGCCGGGAATGGAGCGGGATACAAACATTGAAAATGGAAATTAATAATTAATAATTAATTGAAAATGGAGGCCCAATATCTTCAGGAAACAGTACTTGATGGAAGAAAATTGTAGTCGAGTTCTTTGAAAAATATACTGGGGAGAAAGCTATACTATGCTGTATAAACCAACGCTAATTGAACTTTATAATTTTCCTGTTACTTGAATAATTAAAATTTCCATATAATAAGGGATATCTAAACAAAAATCACAGCATTAAGAATTACAAAATAAAGGGAAGCTTTTTTTTTTTTTAAAGCTGGGATTCAATGGTCTATGAACTGCATGCTTTTCATTCCAAACACTTAAAACCTTAAAACGCTGATCTCTCTATCCTGCTTAAATAGTAAAAGGGTACCATGAAAGAAAAACATTTAAGTTTTTTACACTACCTTTTTCTGTGCTCCCATTTATTTTAGGTAAGAAGTCATCAACTTGTATCCCTAGGATTAAGACAGTGTATCATTGCCTGATCAAAGAAAGTGTTACTTTAAAACTGGTCTCAAGTGTAACCATGGCATTTTGTATTCCTACTTAACATTAAGACAGTATAGCACACTTTAAATTTGTTTTTAAAAGAAGGGCTCAACTGGACATTTTCTATCGACTCAGAGAAAAAGCTACAATTGCCTTCCAACAAACCTCAAAAGAAAAAGGATCCTGCTGTACATTTATTTTTCTTATTTAAATATCTCTAAATAGAGCATCTCAGATGCAGAAATTTCATTTATCTCAAGGACTAAACAATGGTGCCCACTGGTGGCAATCAAGCATATTTTTAAAGGAAATTTTCTGAAAGACTGTAGATACTTTATACCTAAAACAAAATATTCCTCTTAAAATAAGTACCCCATGAGAGAGTAAACATCAAAAGTCCAATGATAAAATTCAGCTTTAAATAAGAAACTGGGTAACACACCTACCTAAACTGCTGCATTCTTTAAGAGTTTTCTCCTGAAGATGTTCTAACCGTACTGTAAATAAAAGTCCAAGAAAAAGATATTTCACAGATAAAAGAAAAAAAAATCAAATCAAATCAACTTCTGGATTAGCAACTTACCTTGTAAAGCTGTTAGCCTTTCATTGGTGAAGTCATTATCAGCTTGCAAAGCTTCTATTTTTGCCTGGAGCTCCTGTTCTTTTTCTTCCATTTCATCTATTTTATGTTGTAATTCTTTTTTCTCAGCTTGTCCCTTCTGTTGGATTTCTTCTTGTTTTCCCTCTGCTACCTGTTGAGAAAGAAAAAAAATTTCAGTTATTTCATAAAGTCTGAACTTGCTTTCAGAGGCTTAAAGCAGGACTGCTTTTATTCACCATAAACTTCTAAGGAGAATATTCAATATTATAGAATATATTTGTAAATGTCAAAATAATGTCAAAAGTGGTCTGCACTGAAGTCATGCTTCCCTATCACCTAGGGAAAAAAAACTTGCAGCAGGCAAACAGGCCTAATACATACAGATAAGGGGGTCAAAATGAAAAACTCCACAGTTTTCAAGAGGGAAATATGTAAGGTTTTCCCCTGAAATTACTATTGTTTAAATTAGCTTATAAGTTCTAAAATGTAACTTACTCTGATATTTTATTTTATTTATTTATTTTTTTAAAAGATTTTATTTATTTATTTGACAGAGAGAGAGATAGCGAGAGCAGTAACACAAGCAGGGGGAATGGGAGAGGGAGAAGCAGGTTTCTTGCCGAGCAGGGAGCCCGATGTGGGACTCGATCCCAGGATCCTGGGATCATGACCTGAGCCGAAGGCAGACGCTTAACGACTGAGCCACCCAGGCGCCCTACTCTGATATTTTAAACAAAACTGTGTTTAGTTGAAGGAATGATGATAAGAAGCACTTTTCAAAATGACCTCCTTTTAATAAGACCAACCTTTAAAACTATTACAGGTTCACCAACCACAGAGAGGGAGGGATGCCCTGGTCTTCTCTAACAAGTATGTGTCTTCTAGTCACTCATTCCATGGTTTGAATTATTTAAAGATGGGTCTTCACAAACTCAGTTATAACATTTAAAGGACCAACTTGACATTACGTATGGCCTCACCTGTCCTTATCCTAAATGCCCTAGAGCTACAGGGAGCTGCAGCTGAAGCAGTTAATAGCATCCCTGGAGGCTACGAGGGTCCATACAGATGACTCCAAGGTTACTTCTGGCCTTGTTCCAGAACTAACGTAGTTGGGCTCTGCCTTTGGGGCTGCCCACGGTTAAGCAGATTCAAGTTTTTAAAAAGTCTAAATATCTTGGGGTTTGCTGATTTATTTTATTTTATTTTTTTAAGTTTTATTTATTTGACACAGAGAGACCCAGTGAGAGAGGGAACACAAGCAGGGGGAGTGGGAGAGGGAGAAGCAGGCTTCCCGCTGAGCAGGGAGCCCGATGCAGGGCTCATCCCAGGACCCTGGGATCATGACCTGAGCCGAAGGCAGACACTTAATGACTCAGCCACCCAGGTGCCCCGGTTTGCTGATTTACATCTACTTCCTGTTATATATTAAAAGATGCCTGTTGTGAAGTACTATTTATTTCCATCTAGAGAAAGTATGTCAGCTTTTACAGACTTTCAATTATCTGTGGCAATGGGGTTTGGGCTAAATGGCATTTTATTTTTACTACAAACTTCAACTACTACCAAATTTTACATCAACAACTATTCAGCAACTATTCAGCAATACCTAACCTCTTTTTTTTTTTTTTAAGATTTTGTTTATTTTTTTGACAGAGACACAGTGAGAGAGGGAACACAAGCAGGGGGAGTGAGAGAGGGAGAAGCAGGCTTCCCGCCAAGCAGGGAGCCCTATGCGGGGCTTGATCCCAGGACCCTGGGATCATGACCCGAGCTGAAGGCAGACGCTCAACGACTGAGCCACCCAGGCGCCCCCAGCAATACCTAACCTCTTAATCTATCCAGTGTGTTAGGGACTATTAGCACACTCTCAGGTTGAGTAAATACATACCTTTAATTTGTCAGATAAATCTTTAATCTCATTAACTGCTCCATTATATTTATTGGCTAATTCTCTTAATTCTTCCTGAGTCCGTTCATTCATTTCTTTAAGATGGGTACATTCATCTTCAGTATTACTCAGACTTCGCTGTAATTCAAGTTTACAGATAACTGATTTAGAATAAATGCACATTCTAAATTCAACTTATAAAAAGTGTTAATTATATGGGTTGTTCAAAATTAACATCTGCCCTGGCCTTTATATAAGAGTTAAACAACATAAGAATTTTAATTTACTTTAGGTACATGCTAAAACAGAAAATACAACAAAAAATTTGAAAAACGAAACAAAACAACAGAAAGGGAGCAGGGGAGGAAAGGATGTTACTTTTACATAACTACTCTTTTAAAAGGCCACTGGGTATGACTTTTAGACTTGAAAATATTTTAAGCTTATCAATTCTTGAAAGCAAGTTACTAATAGGCACAATCAACTTAATAAGAAAATTAGAAGACAGCTAACAATTTTCTTTCCTTGCATGTCAAATTAATGACACAACACTGAATTAGTTACTATGGGATGAGGCTATTATAGAAACCATTACTATACCATATTCTAGAGTATATACTATATACTATAGTATTTTTACTATTGTTTACAATGGGCATTTTAACTAAATCCATTAACAAATAACTTCTGTGGTAATTTAGCAGTGGTTCAACGAATGACCTACATTATCAATGAGGTTGTTTTTAAAGCAATGAGAATCACATTTTGATTGTTCCTAAAAGACCAAGAAAGGACCTCAGAGATATTTTCCCTTTGACCTCCAAAGTTAGACACAGTTTTCTTCTCTAGAGGATGGGTAAATAAGAACAGTGGTAAGGTTCTCCACCTTCCACTAACTATCCTCAATTGGAAGAAAAGCAAAAACTAGGTGACAGGAGATCAATTCCCTGGCACATATCACAGTCCACTGTGTGAGAGGCCAAATCCTAAGCAGAATGCACATGGTTAAGACTCCCTCTGATTAGGCTTTTATTTGCTCAGTCACCGAGTAGAAACCACAAGCACCAGACTCACATGATTACAATGAAAATTCCTAACAATGAAAACAGGCTACTATCCCTTCCCATTTGATAGACAGGAAATATTTCCTAACTATATAATACTCAAGTTTAAAATGTCCTAAAATATTAGCAATTTCAGGCTAAAAATTTTAAATCATACTACCATTTTGTATTTGTTAAAATGAAATACCTCAACTTCTGAAAGTTTTCTAACCACTTCAATTTTCTCCTGAAGAACCCGCCTCAGGGACTCTTTGGCTGTCGTCTCGTAGTTGTGTTTATCCTCCTGTAATGCTATAAGTTCCTTCCGTAAACTATCTTCTGTTTGATTCTAGGATTAGAAGATATTTATAATTATAGCCAAGTAATTTTTTTAAGTATTTACCATTTGGAAAAATAACACATTATGATGTTCTTTGAATTCTACATTAAGGTACCTCCAAATACAAATGATGTATTTAAAAATTGCACTGTAAATTATGCCTTCACAAATACATTAATCCACACTTCTGATAGAAAAAAAAATGTCAAAGGAAATTGAGAATTTCTTTCAAATGTACAAAATGAATTAAGTCTCCTGTCATATTCTCTGTAAGCCACAATATTTACATTTGTGGGTAAAAATAATCTCTTACTTTCAAAGGGGCCAAGCATCTTAAAACAATGGTTAAACCAAAAGGAATAAGAGCACCCTTAGGAAAAAGCTGACTCCAGCTCTGAGGCAGGAAATGTACAAGATGAGTCTGGAACACCTTGTCTAAAATGACAGCAGTAGGCGATCAAAGTTTGCTGGGGTTCTACCAAAAGGACTCAGGAACCAAAGATGGGATAATTTGAGCATCAATAACCACAACAAATGGAACAGGCTGAAACACATGAAATACATTTAAACCTAAGTTTGGAGAAAAAAAACACTTCATGGTCATTCTTTGGTAGATGAGAAGGAACCAACTCATTATTTTGAAATCCAGTAAATAAATGGAGAAAATCACTTATCCTTTTCCTAGAGAAAATGTCTTCAGGGTAACAAAATGGTTTATGAGGGGGAATAGAAGTATTTATAGAAGTAATCCAGCTAATAAATAAAGAAATAACAACTACAACATGACCATTTTTGCAAGCCTTAATAATGGATCTAGGCAAGGATCATCAAAGATTGCTAATATCTCAAAAAGAAAGACAACTAGATATTATGGTGCCTTCTGGTGAAAGTACACAATACTATTCATGAAGTACTGTTGGAAAAAAGAGTTGAACCTAAATCAGATCAAATCTCTAGATCAAACTACCAGTTTATGGTGTGGGAGGAGAGCTAGAAGAATGTGTAAATAACAATCCAGATTTAGGGAAATTATAGAGGACAAATGACCCAGTTTCTCCAGCAAATATCAACTGTGATAGAAAAAAAAGAAAGAGTTGTATATGGGTATTCAATATACAATTCTTTCTCCTTAATGTGTGTTTGAAATTTCCTCTAATGACAAAAAATTTAAAAGAATGGTGAAAACATATAAACGTTTTAGTATGTACTCAAAATGACAGTCAAAGAAATGAAGCTACATAAAAAACTATGCATTTTCATGCATAGTTAATGCATTTTTCTTTATGGATCTTTACTTGAGATTAATACTTACTTTGGAGCATGCCTGTAATTGGTTTCCCATAACTTCTAACCGTGATAAGAGTCTATCTTCATCTATTAAAGCCTGTTGAAGAAAAATTAAACATAAATAAAATCCCAGGGTAATTAAAAAATTACACATATCAAAAAGGTTGCTACTGCCAAAAAAAGATATGATATCATAAAACTGACCAACATCCACTGTAAAATGCTAAATTTTCAATATTTGGTCATTAAGAAATAAGTTTGCCTTTGCCTGCTAAAAAATTTCACTTTTAATCAACATCTAAGGGATATTAAACTATACTTAAATGCTTCTTGTATATAAAGGCAACTGGAATACCTGCCAACTGGTATCTGAAGCCTCTTGGGTGATGGCTAGTAGCCGCTGAAGTGTGGCTAACTTCTGTTCCAACATCTGTTCCCGGTGTAAGGCCTCCTAATAGTACAAATCACAAAAGAGATTCTAATAAACTCAGCATGATCCTTGAAGAGAAATCAAAGTACATTCTGAAAATATTCTCATCTTATATCCCACTTTGTATCTTACTTTCAAACCTGATAAATCTACCTTGTAAAATATATATAAGCCATATCATTTTAATCTCATTTCCTGGACTATTAGGGGTACTGAGCTGCATGCACCTTCCTCTATTAACAGAAAACAAGTGCCCTGTTTTTGTTTTCCTTTTAGTCATAATTCACAAGAGTTTTAAAAAAAAGGAAACCCAGAATAGAAGAATCCAACAAATGTTGAACCCTACATTTTATATATCTATATAAAACCCTCCATTTCCAATTATATATATATATGTATATATGTAAATTTTAAAAAATATATACATATTTTTCAGAACAAACTCATTTCAAACTAAGCCAAACAATCTGGTCAGTAGCAAAGATATTTCTCAATGGCTTAGCTGCATGAGTATGACATCTAAAATAGAAATGTCTTTTAATTTTTCCTTTTAAGAATGTTACATATAGGGGTGCCTGGGTGGCTCAGTCATTAAGCGTCTGCCTTCGGCTCAGGTCATGATCTCAGGGTCCTGGGATCGAGCCCCACATCAGGCTCCCTGCTCAGCGGGAAGCCTGCTTCTCCCTCTCCCACTCCCCTTGCTTGTGTTCCCTCTCTCGCTGTCTCTCTCTCTGTCAAATAAATAAATAAAATCTTAAAAAAAAAAATTAAAAAAAAGAACGTTACATATATATAAATATATATATTTAAGGAGAGAGACTGTTGTTTCACAATCTCTTGCATTTTCAGGTGTTCTGATTCTTTGTGACTGTATACCACTTAGCAGCAATCAAATATGCCAAAAATAAGTAAGAGTCCACCAATGTAATAAGGGGTCAAGGAGTTCTATAACCATTTGGCAGCTCCAAAGGGATATTTTTACAGAGAAGGACATTAGCAAGCAAACCCTTATCTCTAGGTCCCTTGTTAACATTTGATAGCTGTTAAGAGGGTCTCCTTCACTAGAAGTCAAGGTGAAAATGCTCACATAGCATTGAGCTGTGGTTATGGCACATCTTTAAATTTCACTTTCTTCTATTCCTGTCATTAGCCAAAGAAGAACACTTACTACCCTAATACCTATGGAGCCACCTCAAAAAAGAAGGATATGCTTCAAAGACAGTACTTGAGGTTTAGAGTATGCATTTATTTTTCTCCACATCCTTGGTAAATAATGATTAAAGAAAATCTGATCTAATTAGAGTTACAGGTACCGTTTTTTAAATATAACTCTAGGGGCTCCTGGGTGGCTCAGTTGGTTAGGCGTCTGTCTGTCTTCTGCTCAGGTCATGATCCCAGGATCCTGGGATCGAGCCCTGCATCGGGCTCCCTGCTCAGCGGGAAGCCTGCTTCTTCCTCTCCCACTCCCCCTGCTTGTGTTCCCTCTCTCACTATCTCAAATAAATAAAATCCTTAAAATAAACAAATTAAAAGTATAGATTAAGGAATCTAACAAAAGCCATAAAACACAGCTTACACTTACAAGAGACTGGTTGCCAAGTTTATTTTAAGCTCTTAAAACACTACTAATATCCAGGAAATTAACATTAAATGCTGCAAAAATTTTACTTAAAAACAAAACCACCAAACAATCACTGCTTCCACTAGATGGTGTAATTTCACCTTTTTAAACTCAATTCCATTTAGAGTTTCATAATTCCATGAGCCACATCCTAACAGAAATCTAATACTTCCAGGAATACCTTTTAGTTCTAAGGCATGAAATGTATCTATTCCAGTTTTTACTTAAAAGATTTACATTAGAACTTTAGCAATTCAAAAAGATGTATACAGAAAAGACAGCACAGTATAATCTCTCAAAAACCAGAAAAGAACAGTGAAAGATGATGCCCACTATGAATATTCAAAGAACTGACAAAATTGGAAAAAGTACTGGAGTGAGTCAGGGCATTAGACCCACAGTCCATGATGACTGGTAACTATATAGGGTATAGACTCAGGAAATCCTTTTACCTATAATGAGCCTCATATTTCTCATAGAAAAATGGAGGTTAAAACAAAATGGAGGTTAGACAAGAGCAATCTCAAAGTTTTCTTCTACCTCTAAAAACAAGAGAGATCTAGGTCAACTAGTGTGCCTTTCTACTGAGTGGTAAACAACTGCTAACATGTATGGCATACATTGTATGTGACACACTGTTCTAAGTGCCTTACATATATTGATTCACAATTCTGTGAGGGACATGCTATTATACCCACATCATAGATGAAGAAAATGAGGCTCTGAAGTTAAAGGTCTGAAAAGGTCTGACGTTAAAGCCACAGACCAAGTCCAGGGAATTCCGGCTAGACTCTATGCTTTTAGACATTCTCCTAAACTGCAAATGTGTAAAACGGCTTTTCTATGCATCATTACATAATGACCAGTGGAAGGAAGGATCTGATTAATACTCTAACAATTTTCAGACTTAATCCAGCGTAAATCTCCCAAAATCAAGAAGAAAAAAAAAGCCACTTATTTCCTTTTTGGAGATTTCTATGGCTCTTTAAATATAGTATTAACTTCTTCAGGAGCCCATTCCATCAGGTCAGTAGCACAGCATAGTGTTAAGGGCATGGACTCTGAGGTCTGACTGGGTTCAAATCCCATCTTTACCACAGAGTAGGTGGGTAATACTATGTAAATTATTTAACCTTCCAGGCTCTCAGTTACTCCATCTATAAAAATGGAAATAAAATATGTACCTTATGGGATTGTTCTGAAGATTAAATGAATAGAGGTAAAGTGCTAGACTAGAGTCTGGCATATAGTAAGTGCTATATAACCATTTGCTATTAATATTATACTAAGCACCCAAGATCTCTCCAGGTTTAATTTTATTTAAAAGTCATCTATGAATAAAGAACTATTTTGAAACTTCCTCATATTTGAGTAAAAAAAAAAATTCTCTTGTACAGACCCCTATCTTTACTAGACTTAATAATCCTGATTCTTTTTTTAAAAAAAGATTTTATTTATTTATATACCAGAGAGAGAGAGAGCACACCAGGGGGAGTGGCAGGCAGAGGGAGAAGCAGGCTTCCTGCTGAGCAGGGAGCCTGACATGGGACTCGATCCCAGGACCCTGGGATCATGACCTGAGCCGAAGGCAGACGCCTAACCGACTGAGCCACCCAGGTGCCCCCACAAGACCTAGTTTAAATCCTTTTTTTTTTTTTTTAAAGATTTTATTTATTTGACAGAGAGAGACACAGCGAAAGAGGGAACACAAGCAGAGGGAGTCAGAGAGGGAGAAGCAGGCTTCCCGCGGAGCAGGGAGCCTGATGCGGGGCTCGATCCCAGGACCCTGGGATCATGACCTGAGCCGAAGGCAGATGCTTAACGACTGAGCCACTCAGGTGCCCCTAAATCCTTTTTTTTTTTTTTTTTAAAGATTTTATTTATTTATTTGAGAGAGAGAGAATGAGAGACAGAGCATGAGAGGGAGGAGGGTCAGAGGGAGAAGCAGACTCCCTGCCGAGCAGGGAGCCCGATGCGGGACTCGATCCCGGGACTCCAGGATCATGACCTGAGCCGAAGGCAGTCGCTTAACCAACTGAGCCACCCAGGCGCCCCCCTAAATCCTTTTTTTAACTTTGAGAAATACTTTTTTTGTATTTGTATCCAGGCAATATTTCTTTTTTTTTTTTTTTTTTTAAGATTTTATTTATTTATTCATGAGAGACAGAGAGAAGCAGAGGGAGAAGCAGGCTCCCAAGGAGCAGGGAGCCCGATGTGGGATTCAATCCCAGGACCCTGGGATCATGATCTGAGCTGAAGGCAGACGCTTAACCATCTGAGCCACCCAGGTGCCCCAAGCAATATTTCTTTAGCTATATTTGTGAACTAGCAAATTCAAATCTAAGTTGTTTAATTCTACTTTTAAAAACTAAGAATTTTTAAGATTTACTTTTACCTGTAGATACTGAGAAAGCTGGAATAGTTCCTGAGAGTACATACTTGGAGTGTTAGCAGCAACCTAGAAACAAATGACACAAGTACCAATAGTCACACAAACGTTTATAAAAGACATTAAAGCCAAATCAAGTCCTTGAAATGTCTATTTACTGAAATATGCAAAACAAAAATTATTGTTCAGCTTAATGAGTTCCTTCTGTTTTCAAAATATTTCTGTCTCATGTCCAGAATTTGTAAATGGTATTATTTTTTGCTGACCAGTCTGAGATTTATAAGTAGGGTGGTGGAACGAGTACCACTCATGCAAACATTCCTTGATAAACCAAATCACAAACACAGCACAACAGCAATACAGCCCTTTCTTAATTCAGAAATAATACATCCTAAATCAATGAACATATATTTATCCCCTTTAAAATTCATTGTTAAATAGTTCTTCAATAGGCCAACAAGTCACAATCCTTTTAGAAGTAGCCATCCTCAAAATGGGAGTTGTATGTGAGGGTGCAGGGAGAGACAGGACATGAAATATAACACTTTGTCCAATGGCCAGAGGCAATGAAAATAGATTTGTCTTAAAAAAAGGAAGGAAGGAAGGTAGAAACAAAGAAAGAGAAAGCAAGCAAGCAAATAGCTTTCTTTTTTTTTCTTCTTTAAACTACAGGTGGGTTTAAGAAGAAAAAGATGGGAAATAATGGTGCTTAAATTACAAATCACAGAAAAAATACTTAGAACTCAAGAGTATTAGAAGAAATACTTTCCATAAGGGGTTCTTCCCAAGTGTGGAACATAGAACCATGGCATTATTCACCCTCCCCCAAAAAGAAGAAACTATGATTACCCATATCCTCAATACTACCAAGCCTTATGTATTAACATTAATGATGTTAATAGCATCATTCCTGATTAAGTTCAGAAAGTATATTTTTATTCATATGCTAACTATAATTCAGAGAAGTGACATTATTTTTAAAAGTTAGTCCTAAATTGGCAAGGCCTTTATTTACTTCTGAAATAATTCTTGGTATTACCGAGGTTGATGATCAACCACTTGGCAGGCTTTCAGTCTTTATCCAAATGGAAGAAAAAAATGTAAAATATTTTTCCAATAGTTTAATTAGTACACTAAGAAAAACCATTCACATTAATGTCAAAAGATATAGATGTATTTTTTTGCTATTTAGCAATGATATCTACAGTTTATTACACCATTATTTCTGAACCAAGGGAAAAATACTAACAAGTAATTATTGCAAATTTTCTGACCAAATCAGGTTAAAACTAATTTTCAAGGACAATAAAAGGGCAATTTCTGTAAATCCGTATTTCTGTTATTTCTATGTGTAGTATATGTTGGGTGAACTATTTGGGCAGAAAACTTCAATAGATATTTCTAAACAGAATTGTATTCCAGAATAAAAAGTAGTAACTAACACTTCTTCTCTGGCTAGGCACAAAGCAAGTGCTCCTAGTCTATACAATCGGCCATTTACTTGAGATAATAAAGGTTTCTTCCTCAGAAACATCCATCCTAAATTCTCCAGAAGACCGCAATAACCAAATACCTACATACACTGTATATAATTTGTTACAGAAGAAAAAGAAGTTTCTAGGTAGAGCGTCTTAAAAACAAACAAAAACATTTTCCAAAGCAATATAACCAAGTTAGTTTAGAAAAAATAATCATTAGTAACTTACTTTGTCAACAGGACTTGGTAATGGAGCATGGATGACACTGAAAAGTAAAATTTAGAATTTTTTATCTAATTTCCTGACAATAGAGGAAACAGTATGACAGTACCAGAATGAATATCTTAAACCCCAAAGTTGATACACTTGCTGTCATAATTAAAAGACTGTGAATTACTTTTTAATTCTTCATAAATACATAGAATTCTTAGAAAACAAGGTAATAAATACACAAATCTACCTTTTACACATAATATATTTCTAAACACAAATTCAAAATTCAAAATGTATTAAATACCCTTTGAAGATCCACTATTTAATGAGGGCTCTGGTGAATTCCATGGCTATAGAATTTCTATATAGAAAAGAAGCACTCCTTAAATTATCCATTTTTAATTTTGGAATGTGCAAATTATGTCTTTTTAAAACTAAATATTCCTATACACAAAGTCTTAAAAACCAAAGTTCTACTAGAAAGAAAGCTATAATTTGGAAACTTGTTCTAGTGGAGAACAACTTTAGCTAACCAAATAGTATTACTGTTCTCTACTCAGCCACCTCACACACCAACTACTGAAAGCTTAGATGTAGGTATGAAACTAAACTTGGTATATCTCTTTAAAACTAAGCAGTAAACAGTATAATTGGTACTAATTGCTTTTTGGGCCTTATAAAGTACTAATGACAGACAGGCAGTGTAGTATAACAGTTAAGCATGCAGACTCAGATGCCATCCTGACTGGCCCCAAATTCTGGCTCTACTTACCAGCTGTGTAATCTTGGGCAAGTTTACCTAAGCACTATAGGTCTTCAGCTTCCTCATCCATAAAATGAGGGTAATCACAAAAACAACCCCATGGGGAAACTGTGAGCATTAAATGTGTTAATAGAAATAGCTTTCAACAGTACCTAGGACATAGTAGCACTTGATCCTACTACCACTCCCATGAGAACAGAGCAGCTAAGGAAGCCAGGCACTGTGACCAATTTACCTCTGGATCCCGAGAACCTATCACAAGGCCCTAGCAAAGCTGGCACCTAATGAAAGTTTAAAAACTTAGACCAACTTTAGTTTTTCTCTCTACCCTATAAATATGGAATAGACAGTTTGAACACAACCTTCTTTTTCTTGGCTATACAAGCAATACATATTGATTATAGAAAATGTGTGATGTAAAGCGTGAGGAAATAACTAAAAATTACCTAATGCCAGCACCTAGAGATAACTATTTGAGATATATTTTTCTCTGTAGATATGCACATATAGACAAATGAACTTAAAATCTAAATAGAAGCAAACAGTATCCATGTTTTTTTTAAATCGTTTTCTTAGTGACCCAAGTACAAAATTTCTGTTCTTATGAAAATTTGGTTAACAAAAGGCTAAAAATCTAGTTGAACATTCCATAAGGAATATATATATATGTATTTTACAGATACTATCCTGGATATAGGTGTATTTTGTTTGAATTATAGAAAAAGTTCATATGCAACAAGGGAATACAGAAAAGGAAAACCATTATTTAGTGTTAGGATGGTGGGATTATAGGCAATTTTTCTCTGTTATCATTTAAAAATTATTTGTGCAGGGGCGCCTGGCTGGCTCAGTCAGTAGAGCATGTGACTCTTGATCTCAGAGTCGTGAGTTTGAGCCCCATGTTGGGTATAGAGATAAGTTAAAAAAAATTATTTGTGCAATATAATAAAGTCAAGGAAGAAAAAAGAACTAGCTTTTTGAATTAGCTAGTGAGGATTTTTTTGTTTTTAAAGATTTTATTTATTTATTTGAGAGAGAGAGAATGAGAGAGAGCACATGAGAGAGGGGAGGGTCAGAGGGAGAAGCAGACTCCCTGCCGAGCAGGAAGCCCGATGTGGGACTCGATCCAGGGACTCCAGGATCATGACCTGAGCCGAAGGCAGTCGCTCAACCAACTGAGCCACCCAGGCGCCCCTAGCTAGTGAGGATCTTAAAAGTATTAAATGCTATGTATATAATATACGTGAAATTCTAAGCATTCTGGCATACCCAAATGTATCTTGATTGCTAAAAAAGATCGCAGTAACAGAAACAGCCAATGATCACTGTGTGCTTAATATATGCCAGGTACCACACAAAACTCTTTAAGTGCATAACCTTGCTTAAACCTCCTCATAAAATTCCTGCTTAGTAGGTACTACTGTTATCTTCATTTTTCAAATGAGAAAAGGGAGGCCTGTTCAAGACACAGAATAGGTGGAGTTGGGCTTTGAATTAGACTATCCACCTCTAAAGACCATTCTGATCTTCTACCAGCTCTAGAGAACTGTCTGTCCAAAATTCATCTTCTCCAAAAAGTCAGCCAGACTATGTACAATGAAACTGGCAGCAAAATTTTAAATAATACTAATATTTAACTACATGAGGAAAAACCAAACAATGAGAAGGAAACAGGGGGCAAAGATGAAAAGCATTGGGGAAACAAGAAGGATAAGGACACAATTCACTAACATAGACTTTGAAAAATTTACATGTCCTCCTAGATGGAACCTGAGATCACAGATAACCTTTTATATAACTGCTCAAAGCTTTTAACTCCATGAAAGAAAAATCTCATTATCACACACAAACATCAAGATCTTTAAGAAGCCACACATCATTAGTTGATTAGTAGTTACTCTTATTTTTAAAAACCCTTGACTCCTGAGTCACATTAAAGTTCCCAAAGTTAACTGTATTTTTAATAATTAAACTATGAAAAAAAAATTAAACTATGATATAGAATAGGAAACAGATTGTTTTACCTTTAAATGTTTAAAAATTTTTGCTTTGCTTCAGATATGCTTAAAGCCCCCCAAAAAATTGGTAGCATCTAACTGAAGCAAAATATATATATAGTAAGCCTAATGAAAGCACAGACTATCATAGTAATAGGAGGGCCTCTCTCTGCTTTCTTTTTCATTCTCTCTTTTCTACTCACTGTTCTACTTTGCCTTAAACTTACTGCTTATCTTAACCTCCCACCCTCAGATCTTTGTCTTTACTTTTTAAGAATAAAAAATATTATGTTGGGTATAGAAACAAGCTTCTTGCCCCCCAAATAAAAAATGCTTATGTTTAATTAGTAATTACTACATAATGATAATCTGTGAAAAGCACAAGATTAAAATGTACTTATATTTAGATTTTAACATTTACATTTTATGAGTAATTCTTCCTTTTCAATTTTGTCCTCCTCTAAGTGATCTTTCCACTGCTTCAGGGGGAAAAAAAATACAGCCTTGGAAAATCCCTCCAAAACTCCCACCAAAATAGGCTACTAACTGTATCAACATCCTCCAGGTCCTAAAAGATCATGACACCGGCATTAACTTCACAGGGAATCACAGTTTAAGAAGTCCTATATTAAATGCAGATCAAAATACAGTTATCACTCACCAGTAACTTACATACCCTAAATATTTTGAAAAACAACTAATTATCCATCAAAACATAAATTGTAAAGTTAAATTTGGAAACAAAATAATCTGTACCTCATTATACATTATTATTTAATAGAATCGTAGCTAATGTGAAAAAGAATTAAAATGAAGTATATTATATTCTAAAAGTACTGCATTAATTTTCTACCATTATTAGAATAATCCTGAAGTGTAACAGTATACATCACCTAGAATATTATTAACCAAGGTAATTAATACAAAAAGTTCATAGCACTAAATTATACTCACTCTGAGCGGAGTCGGGCTTCCATACCATCTGGTAGAAAAAGTTTTATTGTGGAAACAATACACCCATGGGTAACTGGTTAAAACAAACAAATAAGATGGATTAAATAATTGTTTAAAAATACAAATCTTCATATCTCTCATATCCAACATATATTTTATTCCTAAATGCAATAACTTCCAGGAAAGAAATCTGGTGGTTTAATGACAATATTCACTCCCCTGGAGAAAGTCATCCCTCTTCATACTGAATCACAGTTGCAAGGCAAAATTACAGATAGAATAGTTTTTCAAAAGTGTCCTAACCTTCAATGCAATCCGTCAATAAAAGGTCAGTTGGATATATGGAAATACAATTGAGGAGAGGAAATGCACTTTCTCCCCTATCTGCTGGCATCAAAACCTAACTATTCCCCAATTTAATATTTAGCCCTAATTCCTAATTCTCCTGTCCACGCCTCACAAAACTCTAGTTCTGCATAATACAGCTTGGAATATGCTGTTCAAGTCCCCCATTTGATGAGTGAGAAAACCAAGACCTCATGAAAGTGAAACTGCTTCTAGAACTCTGTTAAGTGTCAGAGCTGTTTGCTAGAACTCAAGTCTGAGATTTTCAGTTCAGTATTTAAAATTGTGGTTTTATGTTCTTGGTGCTTTTTCTTCCTCCACCCTCAAACATTTTTACATAACATTACACCAATCACTTTGTAGACAACTTCTTACTATTGCTTCTTACTTCCTCCTTTTCCTTCTGATGATTTCAAGAGACAAAACCCCCCAAAAGGAGCATTTATACAGAGCTTCTCTTTGTGATTGGGTTTTATGGGTTGATGGCTTTTTATTTCTCTGTTCTTCCAAGATTACATCTTCCAGGGTTAGGGTTCAAAGAGTTAATTTATTTAGTTTATCAAAATCTAATTAAAAGCTAATGCAGGGTGATGAAAATATACTATCTCATGATTAGAAGAGTGGTGGTTATATGACTATACATTTGTCAAAACTCAGTGAGTTCTACATATAAAACTGGTGTTGCAAGTAAATTATATCTCAATAAAACTGATTAAGAATAAGCTAATGCTGGGGTAGTGCCTGGGTGGCTCAGTTGGTTAAGCGTCTGACTTTGGCTCAGGTCATGATCGCAGGGTCCTGGGATGGAGCCCCATGTTGGGCTCCATGCTCAGCGAGGAATCTGCTTCTTCCTCTCCCTCTGTCCCTCCCCCCCCACCCCGGCTTGTGCGCACGCACGCTCTCTCTCTCAAATTAAGAATAAATAATAACTTTAAAAAAAAGGAATAGAGCTAAATGCGTTATGTAAGAGTAACTTATTAAGTGATCAGGCCCATGAATCATCAAAATGAGATTATAAACATGAAGTAATATCATTATTCTGTCATCTGAAAATACACAGTAAACTTAAGGAATTTAGTGAAGTTTACTCAATTTTCATTAACTTATTATTTGAAAAGTGTTAAAACAGATCAAGAACCATCTCTGGGACAGTCTTCTAAACTCTGCCTAACACAGCAATTATAGCCATGAACCACTGGGTTCCTTCCTTCCATTCAGGCCTCATCCTCTATCCTGTTACCATAAATACCCTATGCAAGACCAAGCTACCTGCACTTCCAAATTCTTTACTTTTCACAACTCCGTGCATTGTACAAGCTGTTATGTCAGTGATGTCCTTTATCCTCTCGCCTGCATAACCAAATGCTATTTACCCTCTAGGCTCAGACTTTCTACTTCACCAAACTCATTATGTGAGTTACGGGTCCCCAGAGCCTCCTATATCTACTTCTTATAATAGTAAGCATATTGCGGGCAACCCTGTTGGGACCCCTCTCACTCGAGGGGGTCTTCTTCTATCTTCTATCTTCTAACTTCTATCACTTTACTCACTAAAAAAAAAAAAAATAGTAAGCACACTGCGTTGTGAATACTTATCTTTTTTTTTTTTTAAAGATTTTATTTATTTATTTGACAGAGAGAGACACAGCGAGAGAGAAAACACAAGCAGGGGGAGTGGGAGAGGGAGAAGCAGGCCTCCCGCGGAGCAGGGAGCCCGATGCGGGGCTCGATCCCAGGACCCTGGGACCATGACCTGAGCCGAAGGCAGACGCTAAACGACTGAGCCACCCAGGCGCCCCGTGAATACTTATCATTTATACAACCGTGTCTCACCAGTTAGAGTCAACTCTGTGGGTGGGGAAAGGATTGGTTGCTTTTCACTTTTTGTAGATTTTATTTATTTATTTGACAGAGAGAGACACAGAGAGAGAGGGAACACACGCAGGGGGAATGGGAGAGAAAGAAGCAGGCTTCCCGCAGAACAGGGAGCCTGATGTAGGACTCGATCCCAGGACCCTGGGATCATGACCTGAGTTGAAGGCAGACGCTTAACGACTGAGACACCCAGGTGCCCTGCTTTTCACTTTTTATTTATTTATTTATTTATTTATTTTTTAAAAAGATTTTATTTATTTATTTGAGAGAGAGAATGAGAGACAGAGAGCATGAGAGGGAGGAAGGTCAGAGGGAGAAGCAGACTCCCTGCTGAGCAGGGAGCCCAATGCGGGACTCGATCCCGGGACTCCAGGATCATGACCTGAGCCGAAGGCAGTCGCTTAACCAACTGAGCCACCCAGGCGCCCCTGCTTTTCACTTTTTAAATCCCACACTTGGAAGAGTTACCTGGTACAAACTAGGCATTTAATGAATTACTGAATGTGAGAAAAAAACATGTCTGGTTAATATTTTACAGCTTCCATTACCCAAGGTGAAGACGTCTTTTTTTTTTTTTAAAGATTTTATTTATTTTTCAACAGAGAGAGAGACAGTGAGAGAGGGAACACAAGCAGGGGTAGTGGGAGAGGGAGAAGCAGGCCTCCCGCAGAGCAGGGAGCCCGATGTAGGACTCGATCCCGGGACCCTGGGATCATGACCTGAGCCGAAGGCAGACGCTCAACGACTGAGCCACCCAGGCGCCCGGTGAAGACGTCTTTTACTTTGAGGACAGTAGGGTTCACCTACACTTGTAAGAACTACCTAACTCCCTCCTTTCCCCAGTAGAACACAGGGAAGGGGCAGATTTATCCCAGCTCTATGACTCCCCCAGAGATTTACTATAAATATGCTATAATAAATACAGGAGAACAGTACAAGAAGATCCAGCAGTTCTGACACTTGACCAATATATTTAAATTGATAATAAAGTCTAAAAAAGTAGGTGCAGTGAGTTACAGAATAAAACTGCAGTGCCAGAATGGACAAGCTGTGATATATTACACCAGGATTTCCATTGCTCAGATATATGACTCCAAAGTCCAGCAACTGGACTGATGTACAAATCTGTGAAATGAATCAAGGGCTAATACTGACTGGGAAGCACAGGTTGCTGTACTACTGAAGGCAGTTAAAGACCACAGCTTTAAGCTGACAATCTAGTCTAGCCAGCCCTGCCTTTGAAAAGGTTCTTGTGACAACTAGATACACAGATGCAGAGAATTATTAGCTGTCTTTTTAATTTGCAATGGGCAAGTATTTAAAATGACCTGATAAAAAGGTTTTGTTCTAATACTTTGCAGTATTTTCCAAAATGGAGTGCTAGCAAGTGTTAACAAAAAAAGGATTTGGGGGTCAGAAAAGTTTGGAAAATACTTGGTTCAAAGAGATTTTTGAAAGAGTTTTGATTTTTTAAACCAGTCTTTCTCAGAGCCTAATGGACTTTTTATCCATCATGAGGCTCTAAAAGTAAGATGCATTTTCCAAACTTGTTTAACCACTGAGCATCTCTGTCCCGTTTTCAGAACACTAACACAGGAACTGATAGTACCATATTATATACATGATACATACGGTGTTATGAAAAAAATGCTTTGGAAAATACTGCTCTCAAATATTCTGAGTCACTCTGTAAACAAATTTTGCTCTCAAAATTTACCCAGAAACATTATTTACCATATTTCCAAGACTCAAAGACAAAATTGATTGTAAAACACACAATTTATAAGTTTCTTGGGCAGGGTAAGAAGGCTGTAGGATCACTGCCTCATTAAATACAGGTACCCTTCGCTTTTTTTTTTTTTTTTAAAGAGAGATAGCGTGAGAGGGGGAGGGGCAAAGGGAGAGGAAGAGAGAAAATCTTAAGCAGGCTCCACACCTAGCACAGATGTGTCTCGATCTCAAGACCCTGAGATCATGACCTAAGCTGAAATCAAGAGTCGGAGGCTTAACCAACTGAGCTACCCAGGTGCCCCCCACTTTGCTTTTTAAAAATTTATATTACATCACTTCACTTTTATGAAAGACCTACATTAGTACCTGTTTTTCTAACCAGAAGAAATCCGAAGAGGATTTTTGCTTATTATGAAAAAAGGTGAAAAGTGCAAATAGCATTCAGTGTGTTTTGCCGCAAGCTGTTACAAAGGCATTAAGAGTGGCCCCGCCAAATTCCTCCTCAACAAATTGCACTCAGCATCTCAGCATCCAGCCGCTATGGCTTTGAACTGTGTTTGTGAGCATCTGTGCTTTATTTTGATCTATTTTGTGTATCCATTAGCAAGATATGTCCTTAGGTATCAGAAAAGCCTAAGAGAGGTGACTTTTTGGGTCTGGGAACTCTAAAAAAATTTTCCATATAAATTAATGGTAATTGTTTCTTCACTTTACACCAATTTTAAAAGGTTGCATAGGGGGCACCTGGGTGGCTCAGTCGGTTGAGCATCAGACTTTTGATTTCAGCTCAGGTCTCAATCTCACGGTCGTTGAGTTTGAGCCCCTGCGTTGGGCTCCATGCTGGGCATGGCACCTACTTAAAAAAAAAAAAAAGGTTTCATAGGAATGATCTACTTTCTGACAGCAAGGAAACCTGTACACATGCATGGTAAGCTACATGCAAATTTCAGAAATGTTTACACATTAAGAACAGGTATGTCTGAATCAAAAAAACAAGGTATCTGTGGAGAAAAATCTGCAATTATAGTTATGAGACTTTATTAAAAATAAAAATGAAGACTACCCAAGCTGTCATTTTTGTTTTTTTTCCCTCTATTATCTTATACAGGTTATTTATTTTGCTTTTGAGTTAATATATTTACTTCATGGTATGAAGTCAGTCTTTTCTATTGCCTATTCATATAAACACTACTTAAAGGACCCATGTTCACTGTGATTAGCTTAAAAGCTATTTAAGGCCCTGGACTGGGAGACTGAAACTTCTGGGGTATGTCGCAGTCTGGTTCTATCTCTGTTCCTGCATTGAGTCGGAAGGTCAACACTACTCTATATTTGAGTAGTTTGAAGGATCCCTTGAAATGACTGGCAGTAATAGGAAGTATAATGAGTAAGACCATAAAAGCACAAGAAACATCTAAAAAACCAAGACCTAAATGAGAGGTGTTAACATTTCCAAACTGGGGAATTATTTGCTTAATTGTCTTTTGACTGCAATCTAAGATAAAAGAGTTACCAAACTTTCATCCCTGAATTTTTCGTTTCATAAAGCTTTTGATTCAAAGATTTTTAAAATTTTTTAGAAAGATTTTATTTATGAGAGAGAGAGCATGAGCAAGGGAAGAGGCAGAGGGAAAAGCAGACTCTCCACTGAGCAGGGAGCCCGACCCAGGGCTTGATCCCAGGACCTTGAGATCATGACCTGAGCCAAAGGCAGACATTTAACTGACTGATCCACCCAGCTGCCCCGATTTTCTTTTAAGTAGGCTCCTCACCCAGCATGAAACCCAGTGTGGGGCTTGAATTCAGGACCCTGAGATCAAAGACCTGAGCTGAGATCAAGAGTTGGATGCTTAACTGACTGAGCCACCCAAGCGCTCCTTAAAGACCTTTTCTTTTTTTTAAATATTTTATTTATTTATTTGAGAGAGAGAGAGAAAGAGCATGAGCAGGGGGTAGGGGCAGAGGGAGAAGCAGACTCCCTGCTGAGCAGGGAGCCCGATGCGGGGCTCGATCCCAGGACTCTGGGATCATGATCATGACGTGAGCCAAAGGCAGACACCTAACCAACTGAGCCAAGCAGGTGCCCCCCCTTTTCTTTTTTTAAAGTCAGAAAAGAGGCAGGAAAAGTTAAATGAATAGACAAATACATTTTAATTCTAAAAAAATGTTTTTGTATTGATATTCTATCATTGTCTTCATTTATGAGCTGGAGTTCAGTAATAAAAAGCTTTCCCTCCTCAACTACTTGTTTATGTCAGGAATAATTCCCTCCAGGAAAGGTAGCATAAATGCTTTATTCTTTCCCTTTACTTACATGTTTTCAGGATGGTTTATCTAGGTTCTTCCAAGGGTGATCAAATCTTTTTGTTTTCATTTTAGTATCATTTAAGTTCATGGATTTAAGCACAGTTGATATATTTCAATCCACTGCTGTTGTTTTTATTGATCCTCAAACTGTCTCATCTTTGATCAACTAGAACTTCATGTTAATTCGTGAGTTTTCTGACAGAACCCTAGCGGTCTTAGATAGCTTCATTGCTTTATATATACTATGACAAAATCTTCTAGGCTCAACCTGTACATTTCCTGCCTAGACTCAGAATTAGCTATTTCTCCCAGGAATCCTGTTCCTAGCTATTTATTCAGTGGGAGGAATCCTTTCTCTAGGTATGTGAATTCATTTGCTACTTTATTTCTCTAGCATACAATGGAGCAATACTGCTTGTTAGCTTATTTTTCGATTTATGCACAAGGAGTAGTGGTTCTTTGGTTTACCTGCTTGCTAAATATTCACTGAGAACCTGCTGGCTACAAAGCAGTATGCTGGTAAAGATGAAGAAAACCAAGATGATTATGACTAGGTCCTTGTCCTTGAGGAGATTTCAATTTATTTTGTAGAGAGAACAAGAAATATCTAACATAACAACAAAGGAGGAAATTTTTCACAAATGCTACAAAACGTACAAAACACTATGGGAATTTGGAATGGACAAGGGCAGGGGAAGGATTTATAAAGAGGGTAAAAAAAAAGAGTAAGATTTCAAATGCTGGAAATGGAAGGAAAGGCTGAGAGAATGGCATAAGCAAAGAAACAGAAAGAGAAGACTATAAGAGAGTGCACATCTTAGGAGGGCAGCTGGAGGAAGACTGGAGAGAACAGGTAAAAAATATATTTCAAGGCCTTCTAGGTGCCAGGCCTGACACTAATCACACTATATATGTTAACTACTTATGACAAACCATCTAAATAGTCGTTTTTATGTCTTATTTTACAGATGAGACAGATAAGACAAGGTCAAAGAGGCTAAAGTAACTTGCCTGAGATCATACCCTTGGCAACTGGCAATGCTAGGATTCAAAAGAATCTTTTCTATACACCATCTTACCTCTAATCTAGTTTAACAGCTTAACATATATTAAGGAAAGGAATGGGAAACAAAATCAAAAGTTTGAACTGAGTCCACATTTTTGAGGGCCTCAAGCATACAACTAAGCATTTCAGACTTTATTCTGCAGTATGGTACAGCCTTCTAAAAGCAGGAGAATAACAAAGCTGTAACAGGAGAATATTCTGGAGATAGTGGGTTGTCAGCGTATGGTGGCCAGAAGTGGAGAGGTAGTATGATGCTCTACGTTGACAAAGGAGAAACAAGCAGGAGCAAGGAAAGGAGACAAATGACCTGGATGACTAGAGGTAAGGAAGAGACAAGAGTCAGAAACAATACCAGGATTCTGAGCTAGTGTATGGGAGAATGATGGAGCAATAAAAGAAATTGGGAAGTCAGTAGAATGCTCTAGTTTGAAGGGGAAATTAAGCTTTGTACAGAGTAATTTTAAGGGGCTTGAAGACAGGGAAAGCATATAAAACAGCTGTTGCCAGGAACTTAATTAAATAGGGTTCTTAAGTCTAGTTTCCCAAAGAACAACCAAAGTTTTTAAAAAATAGGTGTGTTCAGTCCCCACACCTTGCAAATCTCCTCCTTAGGACTGAAAAGTGGGATCCAGACATCAGTAGTTTCAAAAGTTCTGCAGATAATTCCTGGGTCAAGAATCCACTTTTTTAAAGAACAAAAGACTGCCATGCTATCAGAAAGATTCTCTTAGTCACCCCAGCAAAATTGGCACAGCCTGTGCTGAATCAGCTTTGTGATTTTCCCTAGCAGCTAGAAAGTGGAAGAAAGTAAAGCTTCTGGTGAAAGTTACCAAAAGCTAGGAATGAGCAAGGACAGCAAAGCCAAAAGTCAAGGAGTAGTCTAGAAGTTAGCAAGAGTACCTTTGAAACGGCCAATGATAATTTCCAAAGGATACACAGGTAAAGGAGCCTGGGGCTAAAGCTACTGTGAAAGAGGAGCAAACTTAATGGCAAGAAAAGAAGGTACAAATGACTGGCCTTGAGATGAGAACTCTGTATACACTCTATCAATGTTCACATAGAACATCGTGCTGCAATGTGAACACTGAACATCATACCATCAACCTTGAATTAGGTAGTAGTATCATGAGTTCCATTTTATTAGATGAACAAATTAAAGTTTAGACAGGTTAAAGAGAGGTAACTGAATGACAGCAAAATAAAAAGGGTGGTGGTGAACAAGAAGGTTGCCAGTTTCCAATCCTCATATTAAGCTGCTGGATTAGAAGGAAGGTTGTCAAAATCTTAGTTGAGATAAGGTGGCAGGAAGAACTTTTATAACATTGTGGAGGAAGATTCATAAGACATTTTAAAATTTATTTAACCAGTATGTGCCAGGTTGAGTGTGGAGATTCTACAATGAAGACATACACACTGGCTGCTCTTGCGTAGCTGGTAGTTCAAGTGAGGGAGGCAAACACATAAAGGGGCGTGCAGTGTGCAACAGGGACATGGAAAGGCACCTTTTCCAGCCTAGAAAAGTTTCTAGCCAAAGGAAAAAGCATGTGCAAGCGCGTGAAGACCAGAAAAGACAAGATCTATTGTGGGAAGTAAAAGTAACTGAAGGCAGTTTGAGCACAATGCAAATGGAAGATACCACTGACTTTGCTCATAACAGGCCCCTTGTTCATAGGGCTTACCTAGGAACAGATATTGGTAAAGCAGACCTCAGTGATGAACTGACTGGAGTTATACGTCAAGTTTATAGAACTAGCGGGTCCCAAGTTTTGCAGCAGAGGATTACTGTAATGTTCTGTGACCCAGGAAACTCATGCCCTGTATACACTCTGAGCAGTTTGTGGGCTTGGGAACAGATGAGTAGATAGCATTGGGTTCCTAAAGCCCCCATTCCAGGAGGATCTGATAGGTTGGCTTTCTCTCTTCCTCACTTCCTTAAAAAGAAAAATCTATTAGACTATCATCCTATTTGTTTACAATGATATTTTACATCTATAGGGTAGGTTATTTGTATAGTACTGACCAGTGAGTTTTCTCCTTGGAGTCGCACTATGTGGAAAGCCAAACATCAAAATCAAAATCAGCTTGTTTTGGAGAGATTAGAGTAGAAGAGTCACTAATATGAATGGATATGCTCAATGACATCAGGGTCTTATCACCTTTTTAACAAAATCATTTTATACACATACACAAAAAAAATTTTTATGTATTATATATTCTTTTTTGAAGTTTCCTTTTACACATACATTATTTCACAGAAATACATAAATGACACAGTGTAAAGTTTTTAATTGTAGTCTCATTAGCCCCACCCTTTTTAATTTGGCTCCCTCTTCTCTTTTACTCCTCTCCTCCACCCCACTCCAGGATAAGTCACAGTAATGATTTAGTATGCAGCCTTCCATGCTTTTTTCCCCGTGTTCATATAATCATATAGAAACACATACTTGTATGTGTACATTTATAGGGATTGGTGAGACTTTTTAAAATAATGAAATTATTAATAGTAATTCTTTTCTCAGCAGTATATCTTATAGAAATCCCTGCAATTCATATAATCCTCATTTATTCTTTTTAATAGCTACACAATGGGTAATTTTAAAATTACGCTTCCTTTGTTTTTGTTCTATGCACAGTGATGCAAAAAAAAAAAATCCTTTCATACATCCTCAGAAACTATTTTTTGTCATTTCAAGTGTCTGATTTTATATTCTTGCTATAAATGTATTCAAAAGCACTATGTAGTACTGTTTTGCATTAATTCATGCTTTATGTAAATAGTATTGTACCACACACATCCATCTGTAATTTGCTTGAGATGTTTTTGAGACTTATCCTTACTGATATATGTAAATTTAGTTCATACATTTTTACACCTGTATAGTATTTGTGCTTTTATTCTGTTTTATCTTTATTTATTTATTTTTTTAGAGAGAGTGCAAGCATGGGGGGGGGCGCTGGAGAGGGGGAGAGATAGAGAGAATCTTTTTTTTTTAAGGTTTTCTTAGAGAAAGAGAACACAAGCAGGGGGGAACTGCAGGCAGAGGGAGAAGCAGGCCTCCTGCTGAGCAAGGAGCCCGACGTGGGACTCGATCCCAGGACCCTGGGACCACGACCTGAGCTGAAGGCAGATGCTTAACCAACTGAGCCACCCAGGTGTCCCGAGAGAGAGAGAGAATCTTAAGCAGGTCCATGCCCAGCGTGGAGCAAGACTCGGGGCTCGATCTCACAACTCTGAGATCATGACCTGAGCCAAAATCAAGAGCCAGACACCAAAATGACTAAGCCATCCAGATGCCCCTTTTTATTCTAATTAGAATTCTTATTTTATTTAGTTTTTTCTATTATCCTGTATATCTAGAATTTTTATTAGGAAACTCCTAAACTTGATCAAATGCCTATTCTTTTCCTTTTTTTTTTTTGTTTCCAGAGTTTGGCTTTATTTTGCAGTACAGAAATCATTTGCAGGGGCGCCTGGGTGGCTCAGTTAGTTAAGTGACTGCCTTCAGCTCAGGTCATGATCCCAGGGTCCTGAATTCGAGTCCCGCATCGGGCTCCCTGCTCAGCGGGGGGCCTGCCCCACCCGCCTGCTACTCCACCTGATTGTGCTCTCTCTCTCTCTCTGTCAAATAAATAAATAAAACCTTAAAAAAAAATCATTTGGGGCCATTTTGAGACAGACATCATTGAAGTGGAGGCTTTGTCAAATACCGTAATATAGCTTGGTCCATTGAAGAAGCCACATCTAGAAAACAAAAGAAGCTTCTACATTTACTTGGTTTATGATAGGTTTCTTTCTCTTCGCTCTCATCGATTTTATAAGGTTAAAACATTGCACACAGGCTTCCTCCAAAATGACTCTCATAGTCTGGAGTTGGGTTAGAATTTTAGGCCCACATAACCCCATCTTATAGCTGTGTTACATGGACACTCATAATACCTGACAGGACACAAAATGTAAAGGTGTAGGGAAAATGTAGGGATTCTTTCCCAAATTGTGGAATATTCAATTCCTAATTTCTTTAATGTCAAGAGGACAGTGGCATGAAAAATTGTACTGATCCAGCTCTTGAACAGCAGGAGCACAGGACTGCAAAGGCTACACTGATTAAAAGATACAAATACTGTACCAAGTGCTCTGTATCAGTGTCACAATGTTTTTTTAAAACTGATCCTTCACTGGGGGAAAAAAAGCCAGTATTGGTTAAACTGAACAGAATATGGTAACCTGCCAATTTTGAATAGCCACTCCATGAAAACAAGTTAATACATGATGTTAGAAAGGGAAGGAATATTTACTGGTACAGTGCTCGGCAATCTCAGTTTTGATTACAAAAGCAGGCCTTATAAAAACTGATTTCAAAAAAAAATTTTTTAATTTATTTGACACAGAGTGTAAGCAAGAGAGAGCACAAGCCGGGGGAGGGGCAGAGGGAGATGGAGGAGCAGACTCCCTGCTGAGCAGGGAGCCCAATGTGGGACTCCATCCCAGGACCCTGGGATCAATAATATTGATTTTATACAGTATACATCATTTGCCAAAAGTTAAGTTTGTCCTAATTAGATAATAAAATGTACTGCTGTTAGTTTTCTCCATAGATGTTATTTTTCTTATGTTCATTTCCTCAGAGTCAAACTCAGATTCGGTCATCCTCTTACAGAGTGAGTTGTAGCATTGCATGTGCAGGAAATAAAGATCTAGCTTTCTGTTCCCAAGCCTTTTGGTACAAGGTGGTCACTAATGCTAACAAATTTCTGTTCAGTCAGTTCCAAAAGCTGCAAAGCTGGTCTGATTTCTTTCTCTGGTTCCTTGGCTTCCACAGTTGTACTATGGCGATATACTTCCCTTGTGCTTCCATACTGTGTACAGAGGAGCTCAGGCAGACATAGATATCTGACTTCTGACTGACTTAGTTCTGGGGAATGATGATCTGGCAGGAGTTGGCATCATTGGTGTTCTTGATGGGGTGGGCTGAGGATGCAGATAACTGATCACCTGGCCCACTTTTCCTACCTGGTCTTTTACATAGCTGGGATCACAAATGAGCTGCTTACAGTAAGGAACCTGTCCTTCAGATTTCACACCAATCACTCTTCCATTCTGCACAATGATTTCTTCAATCGGTTTATTGAGCATGTACGTACCACCATAAATAGCACTTAGCCCTGCAAATCCCAGGCTAAGTTCTCTAAGACCATAGAGTAGATAAAGGTATGTGCTTTTGCCATATCTTGCCAGAGACTTGTTGTAAAGTTTAATCCTATTAATGGTTTCACAACATGGTTTATCTAAATAGTCATCTGTTCTTTTTATTTTTTTTTAAAGATTTTTTGTTTATTCGTTTTGAGAAAGAGCAAGTGAGCAAGAGCATGAGCAGAGTGGAAGTCAGAGGGAGAAGGAAAAGCAGACTCCCTGCTGAGCAGGATGCCCGACATGGGGCTCGATCCCAGGAGCCCGGGATCATGACCTAAGCCGAAGGTAGATGCTTAACCAACCCAGGCACCCCAAATAGTCATCAGTTCTATAAAATGCCAGGGCAAAGGGGCATCTGAGTGGCTCAGTCGATTGGGCGTCTGCCTTCAGCTCAGGTCATGATCTCCGCGTCCTGGGATCGAGCCCCATATCGGGCTTTGTGCTCAGCGGGGAGCCTGCTTCTCCCTCTCTCTCTGACTGCCTGCCTACTTGTGATCTCTCTTTCACTCTGCCAAAAAAAAAAAAAAAAAAAATGCCAGGGCATAGCCAGCAAAACCCATGACATCTTGTCCCAAGTCAAATTTCTTGTACACCTCCCGAATTGCAGTCTTCTTAGGATCAATGCCCTCAAAAGTTCAGGGATCGTTTTCATCAAAGCTGGCAACACACACTAGGAATTTTCTAAAGCGACATTTTTCAAATAGTCCCATTAAGCTAGATGCCAGGGCTTCTGCTTCAATGGAAGGAACCTTGTAGATTTTTCCTCCCTTACAGACAAAGCTCCCTTCAGTCCTTTGAAAATCAGATAGCAAGTGACCTTTGTATAAAGCAGCACCTTAACCAGTTGACCATTGACCATAAGGAACTTGGGAATTAAGCCAACATTCCAGTCTCTTCCTCTCCCCATTGATGGTAGTGGTGCTCCTGGTATTTAAAATCTTTTGTATAAATCTTCCAGAGGTGTTATAGATGAACTTTCTCCTCCATAGTATGAGTTTCTATCCATGTGAAGAACTTTCTTTCCATTCACTGATATTATACTTGACAGGATATATTCAGTCAGGCTTGTGCCCAGTAGGAGCACTGCATACTCCTCATTCATAGCGGGGTAGGGTGAGGACCTAAGCCCCAAGAAAGGAGAAAGCACAGGGACTCTAGGGACCAGAGGCTATAGGGCCAACCTGAAGAACAGGGGAAGCGCTCAGGCTGGCTAGATGGAAAAAGGAAGCCAGAGCTGGAGAGGAAGGAGGCTGGTTGCCATGTCAGATGGGAAGAGAAGGATCAAATGCCTTTTCAATACCTACTGGTTATAAAGTAACATGTTTTTCATGTAACATTTTTAGTCTGTGGATGATGTAAATAGATTTCCCCAATACTGAATCATTTTTGCATTCCTAGAATAAAACCTACTTTGTTTATTATAGCTTCATTTCTGAAGTTAATTTACTAATACCTTAATCAGAATTGTTCATCTATTGTCACAAGTGAAATTAGTGCTAGTTTTCTATTTTTGAACTGTGTCTTTAACAGAATTTGCATTAATGATATACTGCTGGCTTCTCTAAAGGATTCTGACAGATTTCCACCTTTATGGATGTTTGGATTATTTAAATAACTGGATTTATCTGCTTTTAAAAATAAGATCATATTCAGCTATGAATGCCTCTGCTTCTCGTCAATCTTTAATAACTTCTTAGTCTCTTTTAAGGAAATCAATTTACTCAAGTTTTCTACATCTTGGGATAATTTTGCTGGGAAAACAATTTACTCTAGCTTTTTTCTTTGTCATAGGTTGGCATGCACTAGTTTCTCAAAATTCTTTTAGTATATCCAGTACCTTTGTTTATGTCTCCTTTCTCATTCCTTATCTTGTATATTTTTGCTAGTATTTTTTTAACCTAATAAGGGAATCAAGGCTTATGAATTACCTCTTTTTTGTTAGTTGGATGCTTTTCAAAGAATCAGCATTTGGTTTGTTTATTCCTTCTATGGTTTTTTGGGGTTTTTTTGCTTATTTCATTAATTTCTGCTTTTTATTTCCCAGCTTCTTTTTTCTTGTTCTTTTTCTAATTTCTCCTAAGTGCCAAGTTCCTTCATTGTCCTTTTTCTTTAGTACAGAAGGAATTTAAGATTATAAATTTTTATTTGAGTAAAGGATTTACTGCATTTTGGTATAAAAGTCTCCTTTCCTTTCCTTTCTACATAGTTTAAAATTCCCCTTTTGATTTCTTCTTTGAACCAGGGGTTAACCTGTAGTGTTGTATAATTTCAGTAGGATTTTAAGTGATGTAAAGCTTATCATAGTACTGTTTAGCATAGGACAAAGTCTAACTTTTTCCCTGGTATATGCTTAAACAGGTAGTCCTCAGCTAGTGATAGAGCTGTATCCCAAGAGCCCAGGCATAAGTCAACTTTTTGAAAGCAATAAATACCAAAAGAAACATTTTAAATGATGAAGAAATTTTTCTTTACTTAATTTCCTTAAAGTTGGCATAAAAGACAGTTAAATATTCAAAGAACCCTGCAAGAATCAAATGTTGCTAAAATAATAGTGCACTAATAATAACCCTGAATTTCAGGATTGTCCTCTTAGCTTCTTCCTACAGCATGTTCTAAAGAATGTCTCTCACAGCTAGATGGGAAAGAAGAGTGGGAAGGAGTTTGGAAAGAGCTGCATTCTAGAACAGTCACCTCCCTGGAGATCTGCATATATGTTAGCATATTTTTTTTTAAAGATTTTATTTCTTTATTTGAGAGACAGACACAGCGAGAGAGGGAACACAAGCAAGGGGAGTGGGAGAGGGAGAGGCAGGCTTCCCGTGGAGCAGGGAGCCCATGCAGAACTCGATCCCAGCACCCTGGGACCATGACCTGAGCTGAAGGCAGACGCTTAACTGACTGAGCCACTCAGGCGCCCCTATATGTTAGCATATTAAGGACTCTGAAAAGTCCTGTTTACCTTTGGTTAACTAAGCATTTCCTAAGTGTATTTGACAACCTCATTCTTTTATTAATTAACACCCATTAATTCTCTTTGGGAAATGCAAGCCAAGAAGACAGACATTCCTTGGAGAAAACATGTAATCAAATTCTCTGTCTTCTCTGTGGGTTATTCACAGCTGGGGCTCAGTAAGTGTTTGCTGAATGACTTGGTACCAGAGGTGGTGTGATGCGGCAACAGATGCTACAGTGTCTAACATGGCTATTCTTAGTATGGTCATACATAAGGTGAGCTCTCTTAGTAAGGAGTACTCAATATTTTGCATCAAAATACAAACTTTCTATTTTACAATTGTGAATGGAAATTCCTAAGAGTATGATCCTACCCAAATTCAAATATCAAAATTTAAGTCCCTGAGAAGGCCAACAAAACCCAGTAAAAGTAATACTGCAGTTCCAACAACCAGTGAAAAGTATATAAACATATATGCACATGCACACACATGGAAGCAGCATCACTGCCCGCCCAACCGCATCCCCATGTCTACTGTGCAAAATGTCACATACTGATGACTTAGGTCATCACCAGATCAAAGTATGTTCAGAGAAGCAAAAGGAGAAACCTGTCAATTTGTTCCACTGTCCATATTAAACTAAGAGGAGCTGCATACTTTTGGCTCCTATTCACTTAGTTTTATGATCCAGCCATGTAATTTCATGGACATAAAGTAGACAGTGAAGCAGGTAAAGCCAGGAAGCTTTAGAATTATAAAATTGAAGACAATCTACATTTATTTAGCTAAAGAACTTCTAGTTTCAAAAACTATGAGATGTGAAATTTTATATCTTGATACGTACGATTAACTGCCTACAGAACTCTGATTTTGTTTGGGACAACAATGTATGCACAACTGGAAGGGATAAGTCATAATTGACATATGACAATCATGGATGTCCTGATCCCTTCTGCAAGGTAAGTAACTTCCCAGACTTCTTTGTAGCCATAGATAGGTATGTATGTGGCCACTGAGACAAGAGGAATGTAAATCTGCTGAGAGAATTCTACAAAAGACTGTGCTTTCAACATAAAAAAAAGAGCCATACAGGAAGACATTTTGTCCCCGCCTCACAGTTTTTGCCAAGTACACTGGCATGAGGAAAATAAGGCCCGGGGCTGCAATCATCCCTCTTTAACCATGAGGCGGCAAGCAAAAACCTAAGATAAGCAAAAGCATAAGAAACCAACATGTTAAGGACAGTAAAGCCCTGGATTCCTGGTAACACCACTGAGTCAGGTGAACAAAGTCTGGACCTACCCTCCTGCATTCTTGTTAACAATAAATATCCTTACGATTTAAGCTCCTGTTGGTTGGGTATGCTGTCACTGCAGCCAACTGTTTCCTAAACTAGCACAGGAGTGTCCTGTATTTTCATACTGTGATGAAAATTATAAATTCACTTACTAACATTTCAGAATTTAAAACTTTAGAAAAGCAAAAGAGGAAGTAAGAGATTTTTAATTTTTCACTGCATATAATGCTATATTTAAATACTTTTACAAACATGAAATGTTTTATAACATTAAACAGAATTTTTTTTTAAACTTAAAAAGACAAATAATAGGAAAAATCGATCCATACCCGTACCTTTCCGTGTGTTCTCCGTTACATCTACCCCAAACTGGATAATGTCACCAGAAAGAATTTCACATGGTGGACTTTCTTCAGAGCCTCGACTCAATCTCTGGCTATTTATAAAGGTACCGTTACTACTTTTAGTGTCTTGGAGATAAAACTGCAAAAAAAAAGAAAAAAAGAAAGAACAAAGATTAATACTAATAATTCCAAACCTACTTTAAGAAAAAGGACTTCCACCTTTGCAAACTACTACAGGTGGATTTTTTTCCCCCTATCAATTCAAACTACTTGTTTCAGCTAAGGCTCTCCTTTAATATATAGGAAATTAGAATCTGGACACCAAGTGATTTAAAATTCAACTAGGCAAAATAGTGCAATCACTTTGGAAAACAGTTTATAAAGTCCTCAAAATGTTAAACAAAAAGTTAGCATATGACCCAGCAATTCTACTCTGAGGTATATACACAAGAGAACTGAAAACATATGACCTCAGAAAACTTGTACATGAACTTCATAGCAGCATTATTCATAATAGCCAAAAAGTGAAAACAACCTGAATGTCCATCAACTGATGAATAGGATAACAAAATGCAGTGTATTCATATTATATTATATTATTTGGCAATATAAAGTAATGAAGTACTGATTTGTGCTACAACATGGATGAACTTTTAAAATATTACACTAAAAAGTTAGTCGCAAGACCAATACTATATAATTTCATTCATATGAAATGTCCAGAATAAGCAAATCCATGGAGACAAAAAGCACATCTGTGGTTGCAAGGGGTTGAGATACCAGGGGAAAAGGGTAAAGGGGCAGGAGAGTCGTGGTGGAGAATGATTGCTAATGCGTACAGGTTTCTTTTGGGGGTGATTAAAATGTTCTAAAAATTAAACAATAGTGATGGTTACATAACTTTGTGAATACACTAAAAACCGATGAATTGTACACTTTAAAAGAATGAATTTTTAAAAAGATTTTTATTTATTTATTTGACAGAAAGAGAGAGCACATGGGTGTACAAACAGGGGGAGGGGCACAGGGAGAAGCAGACTCCCTGCTTTGCAAGGAGCCCAATACGGGGCTCAATCCCAGGACCCTAGGATCATGACCTGAGCGAAACGCAGACGTTTAACCAGCCAAGCCACCCAGGCGCCCCAAGGGTGAATTTTATAGTATGTGAATTATATCTCAATAAAGCTGTTATTTAAAAAAAAAAAAAAGCCAGCTAGGGGTGCCTGGGTGGCTCAGTCATTAAGCATCTGCCTTCGGCTCAGGTCATGATCCCAGGGTCCTGATTTCGAGCCCCGCATTGGGCTCCCTGCTCATTGGGAAGCCTGCTTCTCCCTCTCCCATTCCCCCTGCTTGTGTTCCCTCTCTCACTGTGTCTCTCTCTGTCAGATAAACAAATAAAATCTTAAAAAAAAAAAAAAAGCGAGCTAGACAAAATTCTCATTCTATCTTTCCATCTCATTCTTTGTAATCTTGTTCCTAGGATATCTGAGTTATATCAAAGGAAGTGTTTATTGCACAGGCGAGCGCAACTGGTTTTAGGTAACACCTATAATTAACAGCTATCAGCTAACTAACATACTTGGTATCAGGAATGACATATCTTCAGTAACTTCTTTGTAATAAAGCAGACTGGAGACACTAGGAACTAAAATACTGGAATCAGCTATGAAGCTACTATTTTCTGGCCTCCTAAACTTGCCTTTCATCACTTGGGTAACTTCCATCTTTAAAAAGCGGAGGGGTAGCAAGAAGCACAGAAAGCCTACCTATTCTAAAAGAAATTAGGAACAATTGGGATCATGCATAACAGACTTACTAGGAAGAGAACAACCAATAAAAAAAAGATGTACCTTTCTTTTTGCATTTTTCTACACTCTCCAGCCCTGCTTATTCTAGCAACATATTTTCACTGAATTCCTTCCTAAGGAAGAAAGGAAAGAAGAAAACTAATATTTATTAAAATATATATTACACCACCAGGTCCTCATTTAATCTTAACATTAAAGCTATGATGCAGATATTATTTCCATATGTAAATGAGAAAAATGAGGCGCAGGCAAGTATCTTCCAAAGGTCAAAGAGCTAGGAGCAAGGATTCATATAATACAACTGAAAGGGCCATTTTTTCCCCATTACTTCACACTGACCTTTATGTTTCATTTATCCTTCACTCCTCCCACAAGCTCTTTTCCAAAATGAAACACAGCAAAAGAATATACAACTTGAAGAAAATATGAAAGCGGAATTTCTTTTCACTAATTCCTAGGTGACAATTTAAAGGCCACAAGGCTGTCTATAAATGACTTATTCTCTGTTTGTAATTCGAAACCAACTGTTACTTTGGCTAGCAATTTGTATACTTAATTACAGACCGTTAATGATGAAAATTGTGTTGATACTTTAAAAGTCCATTTGAAATTCATAGGCCTTACCACTTCACACCAGGGAGAGAAGCACAGGTAATACACTCAAGTAGGAACACTTACCCTCACAATTTTTTTCTACCCTGGAACCTACTGTTACACTGTATAGAGGAATTTGGTTTTTATTTCTTAATGAACATATTCATAGGAAATGTGGCAATATCTGGATTCTGGCTTGGTCATTTGTAGTACTGTGTGCCTTGACAAGCCAAATAAAGGAATTATACTAGATTTACAGTGTTTTTCAAATTTCAAGTTCTGATTCATCAGTTGTTATGAAGTCATTTAGTAGTCTGTGGCTAGCATTTTGATTTAAACTGTAAAAAGAACAGAATAGAAATAAGGAATATAAGAAATGAGTTTCAGTACTGTTAGCAAACTTTGGAAAACAAAAAGGTGTGTGTGTGTGTTTCAACACCTCTTACGTACCTCTTACATAACGCTACAACCACAAATTTTCAAATTAAAAAAATTTAAAGTCAACATGAACCCAGATTCTTTTCATTCTGACACATGTGTATCACTGCCCAAAGCACAGCCTCCAATTAGCATGAACCTATCATTTATGGTAGTTGTTCACCCTTTCTCTGCTCTCAACTTGCTAATGGCTTCCAAACACCTTAGAATAAAACCTAAAGTTCTTACCATTATAGCCTATAAGGCCCTACATGATCTTGCTCTTGGTTCCCTCTCCAAACTCATTAACTTCCACTACCTTCTAAACTCATCCCTCTCAGCCACACTAACGCCCACTCATGCGCCTGAGCCTCTGCACTTGTGTATAGCTAGACCACATTAGTCTACTTCCCTGCAAAACTGTTTTTATTGATATGTTTTAACCTTCTGAAGATTGATATTAAAAGTGATATTTGTGCATCTTCTATGAAACAATCTGCTATTATTCGGTCTAAATTGTACAGAAGCTATTCTATGTATGGGTTAGGTTCCTGAAGGTATAAAGAAGTCAATTTGTTTGCAAGGGACTGTGCTTACTGTGCTTATGCATTTCCCATAAGTAGATACGTTAGCTGGTCCTTTGTCACTTTTAAACCAGAAATATTTTTCTCCTCTATGATGATAAATCTTCCATCAGGCTTCTTCTTCTTTTTTTTTTCCCTTAAAAGAGATCAGTTTTGGCTACTCTAAAATTGTTTTTCAAATCCCATTGAAGCTTTAACTATCTTTATTTCCTAGTAGTGTAAGGAATGCCCAAGTAGCTCTAGTGTTTGCACTGGCCACCAGGCATTCATTCACTTTGAGCAGGTGTTTAAGTAGCCCTGAACTTATAAAACCCTCTGTAGCCTGTGGCCAAAGTTCAATTTACACTGTTTTCAGACTCAATCTCTGACTAACCCCTTGTTTTTCCCTAAATAAATGTTAAGCTCCCAGAAATCTGACATTGACAGTTGTCCTTGAACTAAAAGGTTCTCCCTGCCCCCAACACTTTTCCCCATCTCTTATTGATTCTGATTACTTTTTTTTTTTTTAAAGATTTTATTTATTTATTTGACAGAGAGAGAGAGAGAACAAGTAGGCAGAGAGGCAGGCAGAGGGAGAGGGAGAAGCAGGCTCCCCGCCGAGCAGGGAGCCCGATGCGGGGCTCGATCCCAGGACCCTGGGATCATGACCTGAGCCGAAGGCAGCTGCTTAACCAACTGAGCCACCCAGGCGCCCCGATTCTGATTACTTTCAATGACACAGGCACTATACTCCACATGTTGCATAATTTGCTCTTTGGCCTTCAAAAAGTTCTTGCTCTTCATTCCATAAACAAATATATTTTGCATCATTTTCAACTTTACTAAAATCTGTAAATACTTTCATTTCCACTACGATAACGGCTGTTTAAAAAAATTTAATTATGTTATGTTAATCACCATAGATTACATCATTAGTTTTTGATGTAGTGTTCCATGATTGTTTGCATATAACACCCAGTGCTCCATTCAGTATGTGCCCTCTTTAATACCCATCACCAGGTTAACCCATCCCCCAGCCCTCTCCCCTCTAGAACCCTCAGTTTGTTTCTCAGAGTCCATAGTCTTTCATGGTTCGTCTCCCTCTCTGATTTTCCCCCTTCATTTTTCCCTTCCTATCTTCTTCTTCTTCTTCTTCTTTTTTTAACATATATAATGTATTATTTGTTTCAGAGGTACAGGTCTGTGATTCAACAGTCTTACACAATTCACAGCGCTCACCATAGCACATACCCTCCCCAACGTCTATCACCCAGCCACCCCATCCCTCCCACCCCCCACCATTCCAGCAACCCTCAGTTTGTTTCCTGAGATTAAGAATTCCTCATATCAGTGAGGTCATATGATACATGTCTTTCTCTGATTGACTTATTTCACTTAGCATAATACCCTCCAGTTCCATCCACATCGTTGCAAATGGCAAGATTTCATCCCTTTTGATGGCTGCATAATATTCCATTATACGTATATATATATACACCACATCTTCTTTATCCATTGATCTGTCGACGGACATCTTGGCTGTTTCCATGTTTGGCTATTGTGGAAATTGCTGCTATAAACATCGGGGTGCACGTACATATCCCTTCGGATCCCTACATTTGTCTTTGGGGTAAATACCCAGTAGTTAAACTGCTTTTTTCTGACCGCTTCTACACTGATAGGTTTTGCAATATCCAAACACATTTGAACTAAAACTTCAGAACAAAGCACTATATAGTAGACACGCCATAGCCCAG